TTACTTTTTGTAGACGAAACAATGGCGTAGTAAGTTTGTCCTTATTTCTAGTGTTTATTTTATGTCTGTCACTATTCTTTAGGTAATAATTAAGATTATGACGTATATAAAAAATATTACAATAAATATATTGAGAAGCAACAGTGAGTATATTAACCTCTTTAAAAAGATCTCTAAGTGAATTCCGGGCTCCGATATTGTAGATTGCTCGGACAGCTCTTTTTTGAAGAATAAATATAGAATTTATATCTGATGCACTACCCCACAACAAAATGGCGTACGACAAGATGCTGTGAAAATAACTGAAGTAAACAAGTCCGGCAGTGTCGATATCTGTTAGCTGCCTAACCCTTCTAATCGCAAAAACAGCGGAGCTTAGCCTATTCGCAAGAGATGATATATGGGGACTCCACTGGAGCTTGGAATCTACTATAATTCTCAGAAATACAGCAGACTCAACTGGATTAATGGGTACGTTATTTAATATTAAACTAAAACTTTTCCTTCTTATATTGGGAAGGGTAAAAAAATACATCTAGTTTTTTTGGCATTTAATACCATATTGTTAATAGTAAACCACTGGAGGATATGTGAAAGTGCACTATTCACCGTCGTCATAATTTAATACGTTTCGGTCAACCTTCGATGTATCGTCAGCAAACAGTACAACATCAAACAAACCCACTGGCATAAAAGGGGAGATCATTAATTTATACTAAAAATAATAATGGGCCCAAGATTGATCCTCGTAGGACACCCATTTTCATCGGGAACCCAGCTGAAGTAACATCATTTATAGATACTTTTTGAATTCTATTACAAAGGTAAGAGGCAATGAGATTAAGGGCGATGCTACGAATGCCATAATATTCTAGCTTTTGAAGGAGAGTTTTGTGATATACGCAGTCGAAGGCTTTTGAAAGGTCACAAAAGCCACCTATTGCATCTTGTGACCTTTCCCAGGCGTTATAAATGTTTGACAAGTGCGACGCCCGTATCTGTTGTCGATCTGCCTTTAGTGAATCCATATTGCTCATCGTGAAAGATTTTGTTCACATTAAAATGGATTAAAAGTTGATTTAAAATTAGCTTTTCAAAAACTTTACTATGGAAATAGGTATAGACCAAACTATAGAGTTGCCTGGATCATTTTCATCTTGCTAAATTTCATAAGAGCTGGAAATATTCCAGAATCTATGCAGTTGTTAAAAATAGAAGCCAAATGTGGTGCACAATATATGGGATTATTGTGCTCATTAATTTTATGGACATGCCCCATAAATGTATTTTCAGATTAATAGAATTCAAAACTTTTATGATATCACGAGATTAAATTGAATTGATATTGTGCATAATGTGTCCAACGATAAGACGTTCTAAGTTTTTAAATAAATAAGATTTTTTTTAATAATTTGCTTCAGGCGCTGTATGCAGTGAATTTTTAACTATTTGGGTGGTGAAGTATGAGGAAGCGGAGGAGGGGTAACGCCGCTAAGTGGGGCGCAGCGCGCGAGTTTCGTCGACGCACCGCTAGTCCAAGTCATTCTTTACCTAGTGTGTGTGTAGTGATGGGCCGTAGGACTCTATCGATAGTATCATGGAAGGCTTTCGAAAATGTACACAGATGATCCCTATAACATCTTTTATAGACCATGATTGTATTTTACTTTTATATTAAAATAGGAATAATAAACAAACAAATTTAAAGTATTAGAAAGCAATCAACAATTTTAGAAAATCTTCTTCCTGTTTACTATTACTTTTTTAAATAAATGGAAAAGGAATTGATTAAAAATACATCTTAAAGTCAAATAAATTAATAAAGGCAAATTACTTACAATTATTATTTTTTGTTTTCATGTTTTATATTGTTATTTTAAAGAAATGGCTCATAAAATTTTTGCAGAAATTACGAATACAACTTTTTTTATTACTTACATTTTTTATATATTAGGAATTTTAATTTATCCTTTAAATGTTCAAGATTTACTATGTTATATTACTTTCTCAACTAAAGTAAAATTTAAGAAACTATCGATAAAATCTTTATTTGTATCGATAAACGACAGCAATTATAACAAGAATTGAAATTTTGTCACTTTCCACAGACCTCGCGTAGCCTGTTGGTCCGAGCGTTATACACAACGGTAAACTATTGCTGTAGGTGTAGTCTCAAGTTCAAACCCTCATCGAGCGGAGTTGTATTTTTTATATTATTTTCACTTTTAATTTGTTAGCCAACAAATTATTTTGTTTTTATTTTATAAAATGGCTCAATTTGGGAAATAAAAAAATTAATAAAAAAAATTATAAAACAATTATTTTTCCTGTATAAGATAAATTTTCTTTTTAGGGTGAAAAATTAAATATTTTAATAAAAAAAACAGATGACGTTAAATAATTTTACTACTAAAAGTTGGTTTATTTACTGATAGATTGTTCTCCAACTGTTTCAATTTTGAACAAATACAATAAAGTTTCGTTATGTGTTAGTTTATGAAAATAAAAATCAACAAAAATTAAATAGTAACTAAGAAATATTTCCAAATAAGAAACTCAACAATAAGTACAACAAAAATTTAGGGATTTGAACCCAATCCATAAAGAATGATGGTCCTATACACCGTATGTATAGGACTGATAGACCAATCACGAGATAAGACATTGAAATTACGCTTTAAATAAATTAATTAACAACTATTAAAACATACAAATAATTTATAAATACGAAATATGTGAATATATATTTTTTAGTTTCGTGTTTTGGAAGGTCTAATAATATTAAAACTATCAATAATAAATAAATACGAAACATATTTCGTAACGGTCAGCGGGCGATGAGCGGCATAGGTCCATATAACAAGGCGCCTCAGCGCTCTCTGTTCAACGTGTGGAATTGGAAGAGAGCCGAAACAACGCCGCGGTGGCGCGGTGTTTTAGCCATCGCGTTCGAATTAATTTTAATGAATTTAATTAATATTTACAAATATCTTACTTCAATCAAAAAATTAAGACAACAGTCCTTTTTATTCATATATTCTACATCACTGATATTAATTTCATTAAGATTTGTTGATGTATTACGTTCATTTTTGGATTTGAATTTCTCTTTTTAGAGGTAGTTTCATGATTTTTTTCTATCGAGAAAATATATCGAGAATATGTTTTGGAAACAATGGTCCATTAGAATGTACGATCAAGGTTAACATATATTTTTTTTGCTGCTGTAAAATGTGTAGATTTTGCTAAAAAAATCTTTTGAAAATCCTATTACTAAATAATTTTACTGCATACAGCGCCTTAATTTTATTTTTTATATTTTTGCTATTTCGGCTTAAATATCGATGTGTTAAATCTTTGTAGTTAGTGTTCTGTAAGGATTAAAATCTTAACCTATTAATATACATATATTATGGGTTACAAGATGAAATTTCAATATTATATATACACTTGTATTACGATGCAAATCATGTCGCTATCTTTTATACCCTGTGCTAGGTTTGTAAATGCAAATACGGTCGTAAAGCTTGTATACATTTATAATACGAACAGAAGCACTCGAGTGCACTGCAGTCCCTTAATGCTTCGCCGCACTACGTATAACAGTGAAACAGTTTAAATTATTTACAATATAATCTTACTTCGAAACAATGTTATTATATGTATACAAGGCAAACTATTTTGCTTAATCGACCAAAATATTAAACGGCTGACTGTTTTAATATAACCGTGAAATGTTACTATTTATATTTTTCTCGGCTTATTAATTTTTTTTACATACATTTGTTAATCATAAATAAGGGAATCAATCAAAAAAATATTTTCATTATTATAACTATACGGGACAACGGTTTTCTATCCTTAAGGCTACACTATTGTTGTGTAATGTTTAAGAAATTAATTATCGTCGATGTAATGGTACGTAGGTACGTATATGTCTACGTAGATATTACAAGAATTCATTATCTCTTATTATATGAATAGTGTTTACTTCTGCTTTATTGCCCTAGTCATTCTCTTTTTGTTTTACCTAGAACTAGCTGGTAGAGAATGCAGTATAGCATTCAGCTCGCCTTTGTACAATTTTAAGTACAATAAAGATCAAATAAATAAATGACCAGTCGTAATGTGAAAATATCAAGGATGTCAATATAGAATGAAAAATATGACTTAATTAACTCTGCCCGTTGCAAGCTTCAAGTAACTACAAAGCACTCCGAGTACTGTACGGTTTAATATTTAAATGGAAGTTCCCAGTTTGCTGCGACTGACCTATATTAACAAATCACATACATGATACATTAATTTTCCTCTACTGCTTGTAATTATACAACGTAATTTATCAAGTTTTTTTCATGTGTCACAGAGAGACAAATTTAGATAAAAATATGATTGACACAATCCGAAGTAATAAGTTAGTCCAATTTTATTGCAAGTTTGTATCGAATTAAAGCAACAACGACACTAAGTCAACATTTCATGTCACCTCATCTAATATTATCTATGTATAATAGTTAGTAGTTGTAATAGACAATGGATTTAAAAAAAATGTGTTTACTTATGTATGCACGTAAGAAGTTATACTTCTATATATTCGTATAGACATTAAATGCAATTAGACAACGATATATTAAAATAACTTGGAATTTTTAGTAAATTTCAAAAAGTTGTTATTGTATGTAAATGGGTCACCAAGCATCAAGTGGCTTTTTGAACATCGGTGTGTGCGCGTATCGTATAAATTTTAGTCTCACAATTTTTGCAAACGCGCGAAAAGTAGTATAAATTCAAAAAAAAAGATAACAAGACCGCACAGTTTCTTGCCAGTTATATTCTGGACGGGTCTGGTTTAACCTGTGGTAGTTGTTAGACCTTATATTGAAAAAATAAATTATCAATTTGAATTTGAACATTCCGCTTGTCACCCAGAATATCGCATTATGTTTTATGAGCACTTTCGCATTGTTCTAGCGGGTGAAAATGACTGAACTCACATTGAAATGGAGGTGAAGAAGCAAGAGAAACCTGGAAACTTGTCGCCGGTCAGGCCCACGATTAAACGGGAGGCTGACGACGGCAAGAGTTCCAGGTCTGGCAGCAAATCCGAAAAGGAACTCAAGTTACCTCCCGAGAAAGCGCCCAGCGATGACGGGGCCGTAAGGAGGGAAAGGCGCGCGTCACGGTGCAGTGAAAGTTCAAAGGAGACACTTGAAAGGTATCTTTTTAATTTAGACATTTTAATGCCTTTGTAATGGAATTACGTAAGTAAAACAACCCGACTAATGGCGAGTCGGGCTTGCGCATAAAGGGTTCCGTACGTATTATCAATAAAAACGGCAAAAATCATGTCTGTTGTATGGGAGCCCCACTTAAATATTTTTTATTTTAGTATTTGTTTGTTAGAGCCATATAGTCATTAAATACAGCCTGGTGACAGACGGACAGACAGACAGACAGCGGAGTCTTAGTAATAAAGGGCCGTTTTACCCTTTGGGTACGAAACACTAAAAATTGCTCTAGATTCTCCTATCACTCATCAACATAAGCCTATCAAAAAAGGTATGAGCATGTTGACTAGTTGCCATTAGTTCGATACATAGAGATGATTACTATAGAAAAGAAAGTTGGATACTATGGGAAATATACATTTTATGGTTGGTATGGTGGAAATATGTAGGTATTTAGGTAAAAGAAATGATATAGAAGAAAGAAAGATAATATTTAGAAGAAAAATGAATGTCAAGTACGGCTACAGTGCAATGTGTTGCGCGTTCGATTTATGCACGGTACAAGTATTTGTATGACTTATAGATGTTTGTTTCGATACTGGCTGTTTGGGCATGTCATTCATTATTCCCAGAATGGGGCAACATTTTCAAGAACAAATAGACGATATATTATCTAAGTTTCATAAGTGGTTCTTAAAGAGTTAGGATTATATAAGAATTTTATAAACTAAAATCAAACACTTCAAGGATGATACTAAAAACCTGATCGAAGTGACTGAAAATCAAATAAAATTACTTAGATACAAAATAAGTCTCCATTAGTGTAAAATAGTTCCTGATATCACCTAGGAAGTAAACAAACAAATGTTATTACATTTAAAATGACGACTCCGTGGCGCAGTGGCCAAGGTATTGGTACAAGGTATTATTCGGCGTCGGGGGTCGTGGGTTCGATTGTTTTCGGGACAACTATTTGTGTGACCCACAGATAGTTGTTTCGTATCTGGGTGTTGATCCACGTGGAATTTATATTTGTAAAAACGTTCTTACAACACAGGATAATGTTATCCTAAAGTGAGGGCAATGTTTTAAAAATAATTTAAAAAAAAAATGATTTTTTGGTAATGAATGCGAATGTTTTTATCACATTACAATCTTGAGTACAGAGACTAGCACTAAAAAGGAAATTAATCACAGACATTGCATTTTTATTACTAGGGCAGAACACATACAGCTAACGTCTTGTCACCTCAAAAGCAAACAGAGTATTATGAATCACTAGATATAGACACACCTCTCGGCCTTGCACAAATTTATTTAAATCATAAAACTTCGTGCCGTCATGTTTACTTTAGCATTACACGAACATTCATCACGCTCCCACTAATTCAATTTAATACGTAATATGTTAAATCGGGAGATTGATTAATCCGTTGCGACAACTATGGTAACTATTATTATACGGCATACACAATAAATAGAATAGTATAGAAGAGCATAACTATATTTGAAATATGTGGTACAAGTAATTGTTTGTTTATTGTATAATACGATTCTTTAGATTAGAACTAACCACAACGTAGAGAATCGAAGACACAAAAACACTAGAAACGATAAATTTCATAGGCAAATAAATTCAAAAATCTTTTAATTCTAAATAGCCTAAACAAATTCATATTTTTCGTTTATTGTTCAGGATAATAGTATCCAAATTAAATAAAAAATAGTTACTACAAAGATATTGGCAAGAAGTATGTGACTTCTATACTTCAAAATTTAATCACGAAGCTTGAATTCCATCTTTGATCGAGAAACCCTCTAAAATGATTGAATAAGTTTTATGACTTTCAAAAAGTTTTCGCTTACCGCGAAAAGTTTTGATAATAACAACGGAATTCACTTAAATTTACTTTGAAAAGTAAAACATTTCGAACAATCGTAAAGGTATATAATTATCGTTAATTTTATACCCTTCATCACCGTTCATTAACTGGGTAATAAAAAACATTTAATAAAAATTTTAATGTCGGGAGCAAAATGTAAAATTTTTCTTTTAAGTCCGAATGTATGTCGAATCTGCATAATTTATTTCTTTTCTCTGTTATAATTTCTTGATGCAAATAATTGAAATCCAGGAATCAAATCCAAAATTTCATTTAAGATTTTAGGAATAATATGAAAAATGAGAGAGGAGTGAGTTATATTAATTAAATAGTGTTTGTCAGGTGAAGAGGACATAATGCATTTTTCTTAGACGATGATTTCTACCAACTCACACCGTTCACAAGTTTAAGGAACTTCGTTTGAGAAAAAAAACTCTTTGGCTTCACATATCAACGTGATCGCTTGCATTATAGTTAAAATGTTTGTTATTCGTTATATCGATGTATGCAACAGAGTTTGTTCCACTGCACACAAGTGACGCTGCCGTCATATATTCAATCATACTTGATGTGTGAAATTAAAGGAAAAAATTTAACATCTTCGGTCTATAACATAAACTTGTTAAGAGTGTTTGAGTTTACTAAGTGAAACTGATTAATATCAAAGTTTCTGCCCACAGCGGTTTGTCCACGCTAAGTAATGCTAGCATAGACAAACGCTGTGGGCAGAAACTTCGTTCAACTGCATCAACTGCAAACCAATTCAATAACATCAGACAACTTACATCCTTGCGGATAATCTTCCTTTCTGTTTCTCTCACTCCTAATTTCTTTTTCTGGCCTATACGTACAAATTTTCGGTACCTTGTCACGTACTCGCGAAATTGAATCCCCTTTCGTAGTATATTTAGTTTCGTTCCTTAAAAAGTTAAAGTATATCTAATAATGATATATCTGGAAAAATATAGATTGAAAACTTGAAAAAAGAACAAGGCAATCAGCTGTTTAGCTAAGTGATTAAAACCAAGCTAAACGGCTGATTGCAACGACAACGAAAATATCAACAAATTTTATCTAGTACCAGCTTATTCGAATGTTACATAAGACAACACACGCACAATATCAAAATAACGTTTTACAAAGATAAGCCTTTGGTATCCAAATTTAAATTTTATTTAAAGTTAAGTGCTAATCTCTGCACGTAAGATGAAACATTAAAATTTGTAAAATAAAATGGATTAAAAGTTATCGCTGCTGCGGGAATCGAACTCCGGTCTTCCGAAATTGCTGATTGCTGATTGATTTTAACCAAACCTTTGTTTTCGTGTATTTTATTTGAAACACTTGACAGCATTTTTTTGTAAATGTTGCTAAACGACTAAAATCAATTAAGAGAAAACAGGAATAAACTGTCCGAACTTGAAACATAAGAAAACTTTTACCGAATTTTCCTTCCTCCGTATTTAGTTACGTAATGTTTTTCATGGACTTAAACAATTACAAAAAAAGTTATGATTGTTTGTATTCAAGTACTGTTGTATTATCTTTATAACTTTGGTTTATTTTATGAAGTTACACAAATTGTGTCTTTACTTTACGAACTCTGCCAAAAGTTTCTAAAATAAATATTACTTTTAAATGTTACTTACTTTTTTTTTCGCAGGTGTACATTTTTTGGTTATTACATTTTTTGTCTCTATTTAACAAACAAACTTCTGTTCGACTAATACTTCAAAGAGGTATTTTCGACTGAAATAAACAACCGAAAAAAATTCCGTACTGTCAGATAAAGTCAGTAACATTTACAATTTTGATAACTTTATAATTTAACGACCTTCTAAATTAAATAATATAAAATTATGAGTTTTAAGTGACCCCACTAACATAAAAAACTCTAATTATCGCTAATAAGCTAGTCGATCACATCAACTGTCACACAAAAAAATCGCTAAATATTATTTACATTAATTTATTGCATAATAATACTAGTAAGATCTTAAAAAAATATGGTGCAGAACAAAAAAACATGAGATTTTTTTTTCTTCCAATATGTTTAAAGTTCGGATAGAAACTTAAGGTTGTTATTTTTTACATTAGGCCAGATTTCGTATCGGTTTCTCTTTATACCAAGGAAGAATACCATTGCACTATATAACTTTATGGTGCCGCAGTAGTTAACATGAACATAAGAAGAGTACAAATAATGCAGAAATTCTATGTTACTTGTACTTTAAACTGTATGTACTTACTATTTAAGTCCGTAGTAAGCTGTGGCAGAAATGACTCTACAAAATCCTTAAACAGACCTTTATCGTTCTAGTTTCAGTGCTTTACTTAATTAGGTTTTCTTAATAGTGCACTTAATTTAAATAGTGACATTTATGTAAATAAATAGATTTAAATAATGTAAAATAACTACTTGTTTGGTTTCTGCATCAAGCTTATATGTTAGGTTGTATATTATGGTAGAAAAGATAAAGTTAAATAAATCGTTGCCATGTTATGAATCAATAACATAAGATAATTTTATAAACCTAGTGACATCCATATACAATATTATGCCTGTATGTTTGTGTGTGTGCGAGTATATCTTTCCGTAAACACTAGTAGCACATTAATGACAATATGAAATCAGTTTAGTACCTTAATTATTCTTCATCTCTCTAGTCACTTGTCATCTATTTTTGTATGTGAGGAATGGCCAAACGAGCCGGCGGCACATGATGTTAAGTGAAGACCGCCGCCTATGGTTATCTACAACACCTGAGGCATTGCAATGCGTTGCAGATTCGTTGAAATTTTTCAAAAACTGGCGCTCGGTTACCCGGTTACGGTAACCAGATGAGCCTGCCCATTCGTGCAGAAACTGTTGCATGGCACTACCAACGTAAATTCACACATTCCGGTCTCTTCTTTATAATAACATTCTTTGAAACCATAACCATCACCATTCATAACCACTATCATTCATTAATGAAATCCACCATTATCATTATCATTTTCCTTAAAACTAAAATTAAACTTGATTGACAGGCAGGACTCGAAGTCGACGTCTCTAGCAAGTCCTAAGGTATCACGGAAGTACTTCACTAACTGGAAGCAGGCATGTGACAAAACTAAAGATAAAACTAAGGAGCTGCTGAAGCGATGGAGGACGTTGCCTGAGGCTGAATCATCCGAAGGTCACATGGAAGAGGCTGGACACAGTAAGGAAGAAAAACATCACGGGTGGAGTGTACACGTCTGGAGTAAGTGACACACCTTCACTTATTATTATTAATAGCTGGAGGACCGAGCTTCGCTCGGTTTGTTTTTTTTTTTTTTTTTGGTAAATCATGTATTTTGGAAATTACATAAATTACATTTAGATACAAATTACTGAGTAATGACATATGCATAATATTTTTCGATCTTACCGACGTAATAATAAGAAAATATGAACTGGTGTTTTTCACAATAGAAAGAACTTAAAAAAAAGGGGAAAAATAACAAAATCAATCGATCAAAGGGGAAAAATAACAAAATCGATCGACAAAAAAAAATAAAAAATAAAGAAAGCAATGAACTGTAATCGACAAAAAAGTAAAAAAATAAGTGTGTAAATGATCGCGACACGAACCACGGCCTTCTGTTTCGGTGCCACCCGATTACCGACCGAGTTATTAAAACATTTTTTTTTTCGGCGAAATTTACCGTCTTATTCGAATTATGTTTTTCATTCCCTGAAAACAGGGATGAAAAGACATTTTTTTAAAATGAAACCTAGCCAGATCGATTTTTCGCCCCGGAAACTACGCACATGCTAAATTTCACGCAAATCGCTGGAGCCGTTTCCTCGATTCGGATTATATATATATTATATATATATATATATATTCAAGAATTGCTCGGATAACATTAAAGGATAACATTTTGTTTGTTTTTGTTGTTATGTTTACATTTATTTTAAGTTTTTCCAATATTATTTTATGTACTGTGTAGTTACATTATTTTTTAAGTTTTGTATGTAACCATTGTGCTTAGACCGTGAATAAACGTTTCTTCTTCTTCTTAAGTTCTGCTTGATAGATATTTATTACCTAAGTACATCGAATAAAAAAATTGATAACAGTTAAAGGGACAGCATCAATGCGAATTTTTTAAAATAAAAATCAATGCAGTTTTTTCGTTTATACTTACGTTTTATGAGTTATATTAACTCTTTCCCACAAATTTTGTCATACGAAATTACATATGAGTAAAATTTGTTCCAAGTTGAGCTCCCAATTTCTAGACTTTTCAGCAAAAATTCCGTCCCACAAAGGTATATCCTACATCCACACGCTGAGGCTTACCATGTCACGCTTGGGATTAAGTGTCGGTGAAAAGTGAACAGCATTAGGTGATTTTTACCCACGCCTCAAGGGATTAAAGGAGAAGAAGGTGTTTTAAATAAAACAATTTTATTGATTTTTATAGTGTAAAAAATGCCATATATAAATACCTACTTTTTGCCACTTTTAAAATGGTTTTCGTTCTTTAGTACTGAGCCGAAAAAATTGTCTCGCATTTGGATTAATTTGTCAGCGATGAACAGCATTGCACAGCGATATACCCATCGATTATCTTTTTTGGAACTTATGTATAACAAATTTTTTGGTTACGTACTATGCCTCTCAATACCATAGTAACAGTGTATAATATTTCTTATCGGTACAAAGTTTTTTAATTAAACATGAAACTGCAAAGTTCATATTTAAAGGAGTCACTAAAAACATTACCAAGACGTCTTTACGATATACAGCGTGTCTTTACAATAGCGACAATAAATAAACACACGTCTAACGCTACTTGCCAATAATCATAAAAAAATATTAACGTTAAAAAATACATAATACAGGATACTTTAACTCCTCTTTTACCGTTCAAGCTACACACCTCTGGAACGCCCTTCCCTATAAGATCAAAACAGCTCCAAATAAGTATATGTTCAAAAAATCAATTCGAGAATACGTGTTAAATCATTGACTTTGTATCACTTAGTCCATTTGTGTTTTTATTATCCGTATATGTATTTATTTCTATATATATATTTATATGTATATATTTATATGTATGTGTCTATACATTTACATGTACATATATGTTACATTTTATGGCACATTTATTAACATAAATTTTTATAGTTTTCATTTAGCACTTACCATCTACTTTTCACCATGACAAGGGTTGACTGGTAGAGAATGCCATTAGGCATAAAGTCCGCCCATTGTAGCCTTTAGCTTAAGGTTTAACAATGAAGCTTAAATAAATAAATAAATAAATAATTAAAAAAAAATATTTTTCAAACTAACTTATTAAGTAAAAAAGAAACAAAATTTATAACATTCTATACAACTACAACCGACTGATTTATACATTCAGAGCCTTTTTCATTCGTTGCCACAGCGTCGTATTACAAGCCTCTCCTTTTAAACAGTATGTTTTGTCTCTTTCAAATTCATTCAACCCATTCATATGCTTTGTGACCTTTACAAACGAACTTTACGTTACAGTTTTATTCGTAAGGGTGTTCTAAAATTCGTTGTTTTGGAAAATTTAATAACTCTGTAAATATTGATGTTTAAAGAATGTGAATGCTTAATACAGTTTTAAAAATTTATCCTCTATATGTGTGTTCTTTTATTGTCGCAATTGTAAAGACGCTGTATATTGAGTATTTGCGTGTACGTGGCTAAATTGGCAATCACTATCGCCAATTAGATGTAATACTAGTAGTGATAGTATCTTTAAGGGGGCTACTAGAAAGCTTGTCGTGTACAATACTATTTTTAAACAAAGTTTTCTATAAAAATCCGATGTCATTCAATTGAAAAATGAATTGAGCAAATGATTACAGCAGTAAAGTATAGCTTTACTAAAAGGAGATCGAACTGACCGGAAAGATTTAATTTTAGATACTGACTAAATATCGGCTTTCGGATCGTATCGGATATTATAATTCTGAAGTTATACATGACAGTCCTGTTTTTGGAATATTTAAGTGTCTATTCTCCTGTCTTATCCCTCCTGCCTGTTCGGTACAATATGAATCATATTGTTAATGGTGTTGGGTAGGTCTTTGTACGACCGCCTGCCCGAAGTCCATCCTCCTTAGGAAACACCCAAATCCGGAACCCTCATTATCTGTGGGTAACTCAAATACTCCCATCTGGAAATCGAACCCGCGACCCCCGGCGTAGAAGTCAACGGCCTAACAACTGCGTCACCAAGCCATACATGATATATCCTCTGCTGAGCAAAAGCCTCTTCTTTACTGAATCTATTAGAGTACAACCAACACCACGCGACCCCTCTGCAGTGAGGTTTTCCAGACTTAACATATTTTCGAAATATGATTTAATTGTAATTTTAATATATAAGATAATTCGGTTTCGTCTTAATGTACGCCTGCCTCACGAGTGTACTAAATAAGCACTTAAAGCTGCAATTAACAATTTCATTAGTGCCGGCACAATTTTACTGTATGGCTGTGCATTTCGACTAATATTAAACAAACATTTCGGTAATTAGGATTTTCATATTTTTAAATATGATTTAATATGTGATTATATATAAGATAAGTCGGTTAAGTCTTAATGTATTTGTTCCTCATCACGAGTGTTCTAAATAAACACTTAAGGCTGCAATTAACAATTTCATTAGTGCCGGCACAATTTTGTTTTGCAGTTGTGCATTTCGACTAATATTAAACCATCACTTCGGTTATTATAACATAGGGTCTACGTTAATATTACCAACTGATTGTATGCTCTTTTATAACACAAAATAAATCGTAATCCATACCACCGCTATTGAGCATGGTCTATCATCGAAATTGAATTGCGAATTGAAAACACCGCTCCATAATGTGTTATTCAAATATTTTGAGCAAATGTTACGAGAATTTTAACAAGTCGTGTAGAGGCGTGACTGTCAGGATAAATATTTAATTTCCACATTGAAGTTTAATCCTGTTTTACGTCGCAATGTGTATTCGTAATGTTAGCATACTCATTTTCGCATCTTATCATGACCCGCCTTATATGCATTTTGTTAGTCAGTAAGAAGCAGTCGAGCGTGCATGTTGGTCGGTAAGAACAATATCTATGAAAGGCAGTAAGTGAAATATTTTGTATTCTGTATTTCAATTAATGGTATCAGTGCCACAGTATTGATAGGCTTTACGTATCGAAATCTAGACACGTATAATGTTGATACATTAACTCTAACTTTCTGTTAAAAGATAGCAAGGCGAGCTGGCGGTTCGCCTGAAGTTAAAAGACAATTGAAACACCCGTAGGGTTTCAAATTCGTTTCCACCTTTGAATAAAATGCGAGTCCATTTTATTAAAACGTGGAAACGAATTTGGTTGACTCACTGATCAGACGAAACGAAGAATTATAACAGTTTCACTTCACGCCCGTCTTCTACGATGTCGTGGTACTTCCCCGGACGGACCTGCCCAATCGTGCATCAGCGAATACTGCTGCGTGTCTGCCATACCTAAGTTCCAAATGGGAATCGATGGGTACATCGCTGTCAGACAGACTTACCAATACCCGGTATTTATTTTTGCTCGCAATGAATACTACAAAGCGAACTTATTAACTTAAAGAGTAGCAAAAGGTATTTAAACTTTTACATGGCATCCATGGTCATGGTGGACGGCAATCAATTATCAAGTGAACTAGTTTGCTTTTTTCATACATAAAAGAACTCATTTAAGCATACTATGAGCCATGACCAATGCCATCCCCCGTGCATGGCATTCTTCCTCCATTATAGTGTTTTTCTTTCATAAAAACATTACCTTCTACTTTAGTTTTTGAGAAAAAAATTCTCCGTGTACGATTTGGGTGTGGTGCAAGATAAAAGCAACTATCTTTTAAATAAAATACGGCATAGTTATATTCAATGATTTATGATTAAAACTTATGTTATATTGTATTAATGAAAAAAGTACTAAAGTACTAAACTACTTTTTTCATGAATGTAAAATATTTCATGTTCTATATGGTACTGAGGGTTTGTAACGGTGAGCACTTTGGATCCTTTTCTTTGATACAGGCTGAAACCACTTAGGTAGGAAAAGCAACAAAGGTGACGCACAATGTAGGTAAAAAGATGATATAATAGTAGTTCTTGCTCAACCTCATGAATTATGAATAAACCTTTACTTACTCCACATTAAAGTTAACACCCTCATCTAATATTCAAACCTTCAATGTCTAAACTTGTTGGAGGCCACCCTCGCTTTCATAACACTGCCAGAAAATATGAGTGTAATTTCCAAGTAAATGTCGCCTGCGTGCTTCCCTTAGGTGTGACGATTTCTTATCCATTACATAACTACGAGCAGTATATTGTCTTACATAAGACATACATAAGATCTAGACATTTCTTTTATACATGAGGTTTTTCATGAAAGCGTACAATGTAACCTGGGCATTGTTACCTATTTTTTCAAGTATCTAAATATTTAAAGATAACTGCCACCTCGCTTATTCTCTTTTGTCAATAACAAACACTTAATAAACACAGTCACAAGAACAGTCCAATATTTACGTATGTAGTTGTTATGGCGGCTAGATAACCATCTTTACCCCTAAATCGAAGTGGGAGAGAATTAGTCATATGCGAACATTGGTTATTGGTGATAAGTAAAAAAATATCTGTATCGACGGTATATATATAGTTAAGATTAATAAACAGACTTTAGCAATTCTGTGAAGTTGATTTTGAGCATTTAACATTAACTTTTAACCAAAACCATTCTATTTTAAAGATTAAACCGGGATCTTTCTGGTTTTTGTTAAGTCTTAAAGGATGAATTTCGTATTTTTATAAGTTATAAAATATTAGAGATAATTAAATATAAAATTAGGTTATTGTTATAAAGCAAAATGGTTAAGAATTACTCTTTAAACAGAGCTTCTATTTTCATTGTATTACTAATTGAAGTTATAATAAAATCGGTTTGCAGACTGAAATATAAAAACGGAAACTTCAATGAAAACAAACAATGCCAACTTTTTAATATTTCACTCCAATGAACGGTTCAATTCTAGTTCAGTCTCGGCATTCCTTTATTCGTTTCAAAAGGAAAAAAGAAATAAAACATTGCTGCAATTGGCTCACTATCAGGAGCTGTTGTTGAATTGTTCCGAGCTTTTAAAACTAAAGATATTGTTGCACTTGCAAGTCTATGTTGAAAAAAATATCACAAAATTGATCATCAAACATTGAGCATATTTTTTTATTAAATACAATTACATGAATATGAAAACATTTATTATGAACAAGAAAATACCATTCTCGTTGACCCAAGGATAAACCATAACGTAATATAAGCAATATTATAAATATCTAATATATATTTTTTACTTTGACAAACGTTTTAATGGCTTCTTCCGCTTTTTGATTTTTACTCGTTTGTCTGATTTCTTTGTAGCCTTGTTCGTATTACCCTGTGCTTGGGAGGAAATGTTCCGATTGGCCATGTTCTTATATTTATAGAATCCCACTTCTTTAACATTATTGCTTCTCGTTCTTTTCAGTTGTTCCGGTGAAACTGACTCATCTACATCTTTATTTATTTTCGATTCATTACGTTTCGTTCCATTGTTACTATCTTTTTCTTTTTTCTGAGTCGTCTTGCTCATTTTTTTGCCTTTATGAAAAACACTTGGATTGATAACTAATGAAGAAATCAACAAATAAGCATTATCGCAACCAACGAGATCTTTTCAAGATTTAATAGAATATTATTTGACGTTGTCACTTCAAAGAAAGTTTGTTATTTTTAATTTCGTTTTGATCGGAAACAAATAAATTCTGTATTGCTTAATATTCTTATGATTAATTTAATAAATCTTCTATTAGCTTAGTTCTATAATTAATTTTATAAAAACATGGAGAATCAATTAAAAAAAACTAATATTCATGAAAGGGTTTAGACATACTTTTTACATTTATTATTACTAACATTGCTATTTAATTACCCACAGTAATAAAGCAGTGAATCATTAGATTTGCAGTATATCACTAACAAAAACTTGTCCATATCACGAAATTGTAGAAATCTCATTTGCTTACTATTAGCTGGTAACAAAATCGACATGTTTTTAGGTAATCTAACACATTTCGGTGGACAATGCTCAATGAAGTCATCTTCTCATGAGTTAGTAGGATTTTCATTTACTTTTGTATCTTCATGACGTTGGTACGAATATTATAAATATGCATTGAATTTTTTTTATTTCATGCGAAAAGTTGCCAAGCGAGCAGACGGTTCACCTGATGTTAAGTGAATACCGCCGCTCATGGACATCCGCTACTCCGAGGGTTGCAGTTGCGTTCACAACTTTTTGAAAATTAGGCTCCGGTTTCCTCACTCACCGGACGAAACGCGAAAGTATTATACTTCCACTTTACGCCGGCCTTCTGTGAGGTCGTGGTACTTACCCTGACGAGCCTGCCCATTTGTGCAACAGCCGAGGCTGCTGCGTGGCCCTATCACTGTTGAATATGACATAACCGACGAAGAAGAAAGGTTCTTGAGTGGCAGCCTCGTACCGGCCATCGTAGTGTAGGACGACACCCACTTCATGGAGTGACGACCTGTGCAAATGTGCGGAAAGTCAATGGGTGCAGGTGGCTCAAGATCATGCTTCTTAGCAGTCTGTGGGGGAGGCCTATATTCAGCAGTGGACTCAAGCAGGCTGAAATGATGATGATGATGACAAAAAAAACACTATGATATTTTAAAAAAAAGTTGCAGGTGTTTAACCAAATATTGACCAACCTTAAATTTATTCATTTCACGAAAATTCCGTCTATAAAGTGCAATTTGACTTCAATATTTTGTAGATTTTACTATTATTAATTCTAAAACTTAGATGCTTCGTTAATTTTAGACTGATTTCATGATTTTAATGGTACTTTTGTTGAGGCTGCTTATGATTTAATGTTACAAATCTGTTCTATTACAACTGACAATAGCAACTTGGGTTAACCGGTGCAGCGAAGACCTGGAATGCTTGGAATTAGAGGATGAACAACCACTGGCCCAGTTGAGTTCAGTGCAAACGGATAAAATGACACTATTCTTCACCGAGCTTCTAGACCATGATCGTGATGACGTCATCTGTGATCAGGACTTCGACAATTTTTTTGAGGTAATTTTTCGAAAATACAAAAAGTCGTAATATTTTTTTTATTTTGACAGTTATTTTTATCAAGATCAATTCCTTCCAAGGATGATCCGTGAGGCTATTAAATAATCATCCTAATTTCAATAGAGTAGATGATAGGGGTTTTTCATCTGCTTGGGATTCCATAATTTATAAAAGGCCCGCAACCACTGCTAGACGGAACAAAATTAAATAACAAAAAAATTGACGGTAGCCTGAGTTAACTTTGACATGTAACCGCTCAATCTGTCCCGTGACCAAGAAAGCCGGGTTCCAAATATCGGGAATAAACAATCGATAATTATAAAATCCGTAAACTAGTTTCATTTCATATATTTTTCTCAACTTTGAAACTATTCCGGGCAGGCTAATATACTTTATATTTAAAATACATAAAAATAATATGTTTAATTTCTGTCCTCATAATCCGGGCGCTCGCTTTTAATTCAATATATTCGAGCGACCTGAGTTCGATCTCCGGTGCCGGCACCAATGAAATTGTTAATCGGCAATTGAACCGACTTATCACGTGCTCAGCGGTGAAGGAAAAAATCGCGAGGGAACTTGCATATTTTCGAAATAATAACAAAAAAAATATTTTGAACATATGTGAAGTCCGCCAAACCGCAGAGGAGGCCTTTGCTCAGCAGTGGGAAATGTACAGGCTGTCAACATCAAAATCAAAAAAACAAAAAACAGGCTGTAACTTTACGTTTTTTACTTTTTTATAAAAAAATAAATAGATTGAACACTGGAACACTTATCATGTAAGGGTTTGAAGCACTTGAAGTATTTATTGTAAAAAACTTTTTTTTTTTTTTTTTTTTTTTTTCACTTATTTGTAGAAGCTGGTTCACTTCGCCGACTGGTCCAATAATTCATCCGAATTCCACATACTGTTGGAGGTGAAACAGGAATTTATCGAATATTTCATCAACCCGCTTCCAACAAAGTAAGTTACTTTAAGTGTTACAATAGAAAGAACAATTTTAACGAACTTTATTATCTACGATCTGGACACTTGAAACAAATTGAAACACATAGATCAGAAATGGATTTCAATGCAATTCAACATTTATTAATAATATAATATGTCATCGGTTTTATTGTCTGCCCATTCGTTGTCATTTTACCATTTTAAATCATAATACAGAATATTAGTATGAATATTGAATTTTTTATTTATTAGGTAAATGTCAAGCGAGCTAACGGTTCGCCCGATGTTGAGGGATGTCCGCCCATAGATATTCGCAACACCGTGAGGTTGCAGATAGGTTGACAACTTTAAAAAAAGTGGGCCCCGGTTGCTTCACTCACCAAACGTAACGCGAAATTTAATACATCCACTACACACCGGTCTTCTGTGTGGCCGTGGTACTTCCTCGGAAGAGGCTACCCATTCGTGCAACATAAGAAGCTGTTGAGTGGCCCTACCACATTAAAAATAAGATAAATGGATTAAAGTATTTATTTCTATTGAAATTCAAATACCAATGACATATTGTAGTTTTAGTTTTGTAGGTTACTGTTTGTTATCTTTATTCTATTTCATTTATTTTATTTTTATTTCATATATTTATTTTATTTAAGTCTTTTATTCGATGCTGTGTTTATCTTTAATTTAAATGCATACTATGTTAAACTTAATTTTCACGCATAAGAATAATAAATGTTTCTTTATGCATTTAGCTGGTAACTCTGTTTAAATAAATAGATCAAGGTATTTAATTTTAATTCTTGTGGTGAGCCTTACTATATCGTAATATTACCAACAATTGTGATGCTTAAGATGGAGCGAATTAGCGTACTACAAACGGGTATGCGGCCCCGAAGCTGGTGGTGCGCCCGGCAGGACTACACTGGAAGGATGGCTGGCTCGATGGGCGTTGTACCTAAGCGAAATGAAGAGGTTCGCCGATCTGCCGCTGTATTTGCAGTACCTTTGCAAAATTCTTTTCCACGTCATAGATAGAACCGGTAAGTGACTCATAGGTACAGATAGATTTATTGATTTATTTACGATCTCTTGTGCGTTAGATATAAAAGATAGAGTTATTTCTATTTTGCCATCAGACTACCAGAGAGTAATGGCATGTGAAAAAACGTCAAAAATGCCAGAACCCTGTTTCAAATTCCGGACAAACGTAAAAAATATATTTTTCCAAATATGAAAAACACTTTTTTTGTGAACTTATGTAGAGATTTAGTCAAGTGACTAAATATTTTCATAAGTGTCGCTCTTAATAAAAACATTATTCTGTTGACAGTAAACATTAGACAGTTGCTGTCCAGTATTTTCTGCAGGCTTCCTTGATCTGACTGTTCTAAGCCTATCCAGTACTGTCAGTAATTTCAGTCTTTTCCATTGAATCTGCTACTACATTATGAATATTACTCTAAATTTATAACTAGAAAAGCGAGCGAGCTGGCGGTTCGCCAGTTAATAAAATGGGCCCTTTCGTAACGTATTTTAACTATTATGATGAATTATATGTTAAACTTTAAACAATTTCGTTATTTTCGTTCGATCGTATTATGGAGCATTCGAATCAAGAGTAGATTTAAGTGTTTTGACTAATTGTTGAATGACTTTGGCATTTCAGGTGTCGGTGAAATAACAAAACCAGCACTTGCAGCATTCTATCGATCTGTTATCGGTTTATCAGCGACACGAATCGAAGAAATTATCGATACTGCTTACGACCGCATGACAAGCGTAAGCATCAAATACTAAATAATAATTAACACTAACGCCCGGTTTCTGAAACACTGATCATCGTAGATGTCAACTAATCAGCTGTCAAACGGCTTTTCAAATTTAATTTTAATTGCCAAAAGGATGGTTAAACTCTTATAATTGATCATTCTTAGCATTAAGAAGATCATTCTGTCAGATCCATTACATTTTATTTATCGCCATTAAACCGATTTATTTATTACAGAATGGGTACTTGATCTTGGACTACGGCACATTCATGCATTGTTTCACCAACTGGCTGATGGGGAAGAACCCGAACGGTCCGGGCCAATGGGTGCTGGTGCCGCCAAAGATCTCACTCCCACAGCCGCCTTTCCCCGTAGACTACAGCGCGTTGAACACAGAACCAGCTAACCTGGAACCATACGTACCAGACAAAAAGACCAACAGGCATTCCGTTATAGTATAAAAATGTTTATAATTATTTAGCCGTTAAAAGCAATGCAACAACTAGGTTTAAAAATCACATTCGAATGGTACCAAATTATGGGAGGTATAATAAAAAATAAATAAAAATTTATTATAAATGATTATTTATTTTTAGAGATATTATTTTTTGTGACTTAATTATTACGTTTGATGCTTGCACTTTTGGTTACTTAACGAATCAGTTTAATTACAATCAATATAATTTATTACGCACGATATCGTATGCTACAATGGTCTGAAGTGTTGTACAACAAAAAAAAACAATAAAACATTATTTTTATTCAATAAAGGTCTAGTGAGTACCGAATTAAATATATGTTTAAATGTATTTTCCACTTAAAAATTATCATCAATACTTATATGTAAGTGTTGTTTTTATTTAATTTTTTACCAAGTTATGAATGTAAGTATGTAAGTACATATGTGACTACAATGGATCTTTTAGGTCGCATAGGAACTTACTTCCCAACCCCTTTCACACAATCATAATCATATACCATGTGTTGTCATAGGCTAAGTACATATTAAGAAATTCACTGTAAGAGCTTAACTATACATAACATGCAATCTAATCAAGTAATTCTAAATGTAAAATGAAAAATTTTGCTTGCAATCTTAACGCTTTACCTTACTTGTATATTTCGACCAATTCTCCTATGACTTTAAGTACTAAGTAGTGTGAGGCAACGTATGAATATTACCTTAGAAACTTTAAGTATCTTTGTATATAATACGTAAGTTTAATGGTGTACCTTTGCACAACACGGTAAGCAAGAACTGCCTTAAATTAAGTCGATTTCACATTTCACGATATAGCCTTATTTTGTACCTTAGAATTAAACTAAATTAAATTAGGCATAGTGAACCACTTCAATAAATTTTTTCGTTACCAAAAGTTGTTTCATTTCTCAACTAGCATTATAAGATATAACAGTATGACCAATAACTGATGTGAATCACCGAATATATTTAGCGGGTTGTTATAATAGTTATTTATTATAATATATTGTGCAGGTATGTTTATTATTATATATGTTACTCTAGTTCTGTGTCCAACTGGACAACAGGATAACTATCCTGCATGGTAAGTTATAATTACACATCTCTAATTTACGTTTATCAGTTTCTCATATTATTTATTATTTTATTTTATTCGTGGACCTTTTTTATAATACATAAAACATTCAGACAACAGATTACTTTACGAAATGCATACTTTGAAAATCGAATCTACACTAAAGCTTTCCATTTCGTCAATGACGTCCGCTGAAATGGAGTTTCTCGTTCAAAGGTTCCTTAATATCCGGCGACGTATTTCCTTTGGAAAATGCAGTGAATGGTGGTGTATTAATCAAAATGAAACATTTCTTGACGGAGGATCGTAGATTACAATTTAGTAAACATATTGGATTTGTAAAATGCTTCCAATCGATAAAAACTTTGGCTTTAAATTCTCTTTATTATTATTAAGTAAAACTAATGTACTCACGGATTTATCGCGACTGGTTTTGACATTAATTCCTGACGTTCTGAGCATGGTCGAGTCATAGTCACGGATCATTCAGTTTCATTTTAAAATAGTTTTATTGTACAGTGTTCGTTATTTACCACCTAAACACAAGGAACAATTACGTCTCTATTAAAATTAAAAATATATTAGAACAATGAACCTTATTAATAATTTTAAGCTTATATACTAATCCACAAGTGAACGCTTCATTCTTTTAACTTTTGATGGGATTACAGATTTATATTTTAAATTTGTACACATTCAAGTAATTTATATTTCGATGCATTACGTGGTCCGATTTTAACGAACTCGCAACTTAACTTTAATAATAATAGTCTTAACTAACTAAAAATAAATTTTGTCGCTGTTTAATTTTAGTTTTTAATTCCCGACGTCTGTCGCGTGACCATGAACACTGGAAAGGGTTCGAAACGTTAAAAATAAAAATTTTTACGATATAAAATCCGTAAAATAGTTTTATTTAAAATATATACTATTCATGTACAATCAAGAAATTGATAAGTCGAGCTAACGTTTTGTACGGTATAATTATTTTTAAGTCCACAATTTATTAGTCAATTACTGATTCAGCGAGTACAAGAGATTACATGTATTATTAGATATTAAACTACGGATATAACGTTGGTAATGGTACTCTGTATAATGAAATTTTCTTTTCTACGCACGCCATTAAAACGTTCGAAATAATCGGAGCACGTTTACAATGGGGTAAGGAATAACGAGGTTTTAATATCAACGTTAACGAGGTCGAATCAAGACGGCTTGATAGCGTAAATCATGAGGGTGTTAAGGGAAAAAAATACAATGCAATTACTAAGGTTAATAAATCTAAATTTAGACATTATTAAATACCTTTGAATATTTCTTTAGCAAAATCATAATAAATTTGTCATTTTAATATCATTGTTAATTTGCAGCATATATATTAACTAGCATAACAAAGAAAATATAAAATTACAAATTTTAGCATTAAAAACACAAAGCATCAAATTACATTACCAGCTTATCAACTCCTTTAAAAAAGAAATTAGTACAAAATTGCAATTAGCATCAATCAGTGACAAGTGCAAATCAGTGATACGCATCAAATGATAAGTTCATATGCGCCGTTTATATGAAACCGATACTTACCTACATTCTTTTCAACTGTAAGAGAACGCTTTTTTGGGGCACGACTTTATTCATTTGTTTATTTAATTTATTAATTTATTTTCATTAATTTGTCTTTTTGGACTTGAATATCTTGTAACGACATCGTACATTCGAAGTGTGTGTGTGACCCACAGATAAATGTTTCGGATCTGTGTGTTTTTTTCCAAGAAGGTTTGACATCAGGCAGGCGGCCAGTCGTATAAAAACTTACTACATGATGCTCTTGCCGCCCAATCTACGTGGGATAAGGTCAGGTGGATGATGACTTCGTAGAGATGTCTATGTACTTCCTGAAAGTTCTTCAAAAGTATGACCAAACCTGAGTGGTTGACTTAACTTTCCAATCTCAAGCGTTAACGAAGTCTTAAACTAAGGAAAAAGTTTTTAAAACAGCAAAAATACATGAAATACACAATTTTCACGCGAGTATTATGAGACATTTCAGAAAAAGCAAACGTGACTACGAGTATTGTGCTTGCAAGTAACAGCTTTAAGACAAGATACTTCTATTTCTTTTATTATGATTGCGGTTGTAAAAAAATCTCGTGAAGTTATTTTTGAATTGAAGTGTAGGCATTGCAACTGAAAATGAGTATTATTTTATCATAGACTCGAACAACTTACTGCAATTGTACATTTTTTTTAAATGACACTTTATTATAGTGATTCGATAATTGGACGAGAATTGACCCGTCGCATTTAGAGATATTTCGTTTAATGAAAGAGAAGAAAGACACAGCTTATTTTATTATCTTTCACTTCTATCACATGTGTACGCGCAATTGTTATTGTTAAGTGATCGCTAAACATTTTATAATTTTTAAGTGTTTTAACACATTTTTTTATTTGGGAATATGGTAGTGCTGAAAATAAAAATTTGCTTTTCACCTGATGGTGGTGTTACCCGCCACCCACAGACATTATGCAAAACCATAGAAATACAAATTTGTTTCCATCTAATAAGCTCTCACGATTTCCGCAGGGCCAAAAAGCTTTTCGTACAGTTTTCTACAAATTTTAATCTCTCAATTGAAGTGCAAAGAGTAACTCTATACAATTTTTAATTTTAAATATGCGTTGACGACTTTCAGTCAGGTTTCACTTGATAACTTTACTAATAAAAAAATACCTAGTTAAATGAAAAAACAAGTATCGCAAATGCTAAAGCTCTTCAGGTAGTGTCCACTAGAGCTATACGCCAAAGAACACTTACTTTCAAAACTTTTAATAGGGTTCGACTCTTAATTTGTTGAGGGTAAAACTTACATAGAATTTCTTAAGTCCGTTAAAATCGACATATAATTTAAACAGTGATTTAATATTCTTTAAGTTTTCAACAATTAGTAGAAACCTACTTTTATTAAATTTGAACAATTATTTTTTAAGATTCCTAGAACTAACATGAAGGTTTATGTTGCTATACTTAACTTTTCTTATATTTTAAAGAATTTGAAAAGAACGAAAATTGTGTTTACAAATTTCATGGACACAAGAATAAGAAAACATGAATAAAATATAAAAAGAAAAAACAAAAAGATTTAGCAGAGCGTGGTTTCGATCCACGGACCTCTGGGTTATGGGCCCAGCACGCTTCCACTGCGCCACTCTGCTACTGCTCATAATGGTGAATCTTACTAGATTAAATTATATTAAACTATACCAAGAAGATGTCAAATATTTAAGTAAAATAAAATTAATCACAATTTCTTCTTCCTTAAACTGTTGTGTTACGGTCTCTAATCACCACGCAATTATTTTATGCCACAAAATCTTGTATAAGTCAATGCGGTAAATATTGAAAAAGGGAAAACAGCCACAGTGGAGCGAGTACCTGCTGTTCTACCATACGTCAGAGGAGTCACCGACAAGATTGGCTATATCTTAAAGCAGGCTTCAATTAATACATTCTACAAGCCGCTGAAGAAGATTAGTCAGTTTTTACCATCTGTCAAGTGTAATATCCCTCTGCAAGATCCAGGAGTGTACAAACTTGACTGTGAATGTGGGCTCTCTTACATAGGTCAAACGAAAAGAGCAATAAAAACCCGCGTGAAAGAACATATAGCTGACATAAAACACAATAGATTGAACAAGTCTGCAGTTTGTGAGCACATTTTGAATAGGCCCAACCACTACATCAGGTTTGACAAACCACAGATCCTTGCAAAAGAACACCGATTCCTCCCAAGGATGATTCGCGAGGCTAGTGAAATTAAAAAAAACACCCTAATTTCAATAGAGAAGAAGGTTGGGTACTACCATCAGCTTGGGATCCTGTCATCAATAAAATTAAA